GGATCCCAGAGCTCCAGATCCCAGAGCTCCGGATCCCCGAGCTCCGGATCCCACAGCTCCGGATCCCACAGCTCCGGATCCCAGAGCTCCGGATCCCAGAGCTCCGGATCCCCGACCTCCGGATCCCACAGCTCCGGATCCCAGAGCCTCAGCTCTCCAGCTGATGTTGGAGAACTGACTGATTCTCACTGTTTCTCTCTTCCCTTATAAGCAAAAATCCTTGGCGATTCTTATCTCTTTGCTCCATTTTTTTACTTTTTTCAAAAAAATTTTTTTCCCAGAAACGTGAAATTTTCTTTCGCTAAATTTCCCAAAGTAATTTAAGTTTTTTCGGATTTTTTTTCATGTTATAATTGCATTCTCTCATGGTTTTAATAAAGTGCATGGGTGGTCTAGTGGTTTACACTGTTGGCTATGAAGCCGAAGGTTTTGGGTTCGACCCCCCGCCTAGGATTTTCCTCTGTGTTTGTTTTTTTTCATTTTGTGAAAATAGGCGAGAATTGTTTTTGAAGGCCCTTTGATATAAAAAGTGGTTAATTGATAAAATGTTGCAGATATTATGATAAACATTTTGGCAGTTAACTACTTTTCTCTCATAGTAAATGAGATATGGGCTCAAATTTGGATGTTTGCGGAGGGGCGGATTCTATTGAAGATAGCGGTCGAAAGAGTATCATGGACAATTTGAACAATCTGTACTTTTTTGTGAGACCTGGTAATTTAATAAAGTAGCAAATTTGAAAAATAAAGAGCAACATGATTTTATTATCTGATTCAAATAATACTAAAAACTTAATTATCTCAATTGCTCCATTTCCCCTCATCATTTTTTCTTCTTGAGCTCCAGCAGAAGTTCTCACTTCCAACTCCTGTAAAAACAATGTTTTTTTTGTTATCAGTTCAATCAAAATATTACTTTTTCCAGTGTCTCAATTATCTTTTTCAGAAGCATATTTTCGGCTCTTTAGTCTGATCATTGGAGTGACAATTCGTTTCCAATTCGTCCCTCCTAAAATATTCAAATGTTTTTCAGATTTTCAGTAACCTTACTTTACTAAGGGACCCTCCTTCAAGTCGTTTCACGGGCTCTGTGGCCGGAAATTGGTTTGGAAATTGTTCATCCGTCACCATAGGGGCAGTTTTTCTCGAGTGACATAGCTGTAAATAAATGATTACAGACAGGAGATTTTTCGTAGTTTTTTTGTAGCTAGAGTATGCATTCTACCGTGACGGTGTACAACGCTTAACGCCACTCTGCGTACAGCTGTCGTCCTCGCCTTTATGTATGCAATCGGGCGTGCGCTTTCTCTTCGCCCGCGTGGCTCAGTCGGTAGCGGCGCCGCACCCTCAATCATCGCCCAAAAAGTTCAACTCCTCAAGGGGCATCTTTGAACGGAATTTCGAGAACATTATTTTTTTCATTTCCCCCCCCCCCCCCCCACCTTTCCCCCCCCACCTTTAATTAATTACCCTCCTAAAACCGGCCACTGGATGAATTGTCCCCCACGATGATAATAGGCATTATTTTATAAATTAAAAGCCTTTATAGCGTCTTCCACCTTTTTTTCGAAAGCACATTCTTTCCATTTTAACAATTATGGCGACTTTTTGGCTGAAAAATTGAATTTTCTATTCTTTTTTGATGCTTTGTGATACTGTATTCTCTATTTTTGAAAAAATACAAAACTCGTATTTTTATTTCAGAAATATCGGTTCTGATAGTGAGAAGCAAGCGAGGAAGAGTTTTCACGAGCGCTAATAAAAAACTTTATGCGAAAAAAAGTTACTGTAATTTTATGGTGTTAATCAAACTGCGCCAGATCGTTCAACTGCGCATTTTCTAGTGGAAGATAGTCAACTTCAAAGTCCTGAAATAACATTCCAGAAACTTTTAATTAGTCTGAAAAATTCAGAGTACACTTAACGAATTGAGAGCTTTGCTTTTGTAATTAACAAATTTTTCGCCAAATTCCATTCTGATGAGATGTGCATTTTATTAGGAAAAAAAAAGTGCGAAAAATTAGCACTGAAAGGAGAGTCAAGCCATTTTAAAACCACATACCGTA